TACAGTATAGGTACCTGTGGATGATCCTAAGAGACCAAGTCTGAAGAGACAGTCCCCAGGCAGAGTAGGCCTTATATTTATACCTCTGTGGTGGAACCTGCTAGAACATCTTGCTTACTCAGCCTAGTCAGGTGATCAGGTCATATGACCAAGGATGAGGTCATATGAGGTCATGCACAGCCATGCACAGCAGGTCACCTGACCATCCAATCCTTCCAGCAGGTTCCAGCACATGCCAAGGTATACCAGCTACTTCCATGTCATAAAGGCTTAGTCATGTCTCTTGACCAAGCAATGAGCTGGTGCCCTGACACCTGAGGCAACAGGTGGTGACATAACCAAACAAGGAGATGAATGTGCAGAGTCCCCCTACCCTGTGCTTCAACCATCCCATAAACTCCATTACAAGGCCCAAACAAGCCCATGCCTTTGTTTACACATAGAATAATATTAATGAAACACTGAACAGTTCATGGAAGCACCAAGTGGCCAATGCAGGATTGTCAGCAACTCTCTAAGCTCTTCTCATCTTTGAGCCATAGGTGTCACCATTGACAACCTCACTTTCATTGGCATAGTCGCTGCTACTGAGCCGGACAAGAGCACTATCAATGTCATTAGGGCAAAAGGTTATGTACAATGCAGGGATGCCAAGATATTGGATCATGCTTCGAATTTCATTCCGGTGAACTTCCTTGTAGCCATTAGTACCAGCAGCATCCTTGTGGAGCAACTGAATACCCACAAGGAGACAAAGTACATGACACTCGTCATTGTTGGCAGCAGAGACAGAGGGATCCTGTTTAAGCTTATCACATAGTTGTTGCAGCATGACAGGAGATACTGCGTTGAGTTCCAAGATGAGATGATCTTGCTGCAAAGCCTTGACTTTGAATCAACAGTCATGATATGAAGCTCGCTTCTGCAAAATATTGTGAATGACAAAAGCAAACTGGGCATCTTTTTCAAAAGGTCCATTATGTAGCATAAGAAGATGCCAAAGCTGCTTGGCCATACTCACAGGGCGATGATGACACAGGTGATCAAAACCACCAATTCCGAAAGGATCCAGATGCAGGAATAGACCACCAAGCAAGAGATGGTTGTTGAAGTCAGTGATGGGTGTGCAACCTGCCGAACTGAGCACAAATTTGTTGCCATTGAGGCAATGAAACAAAACAATTGCTTTCATCTGTCATTCATTGTCCCTGTCGTAGTTGCCTTTGGTGAAGCTGCACCCTTCCAGGAGAAGATTGCCACCATTATCATCATCCGCAACAACTGGTGCCAATGTGTTCCTCCCAATCAAATCTGATGTAGCCACAATCTGGGAGTCCTCAACAGGCAATTGTGCAATATTCACAGCTGGAAGGAGCATTTGAGCATCAGTGTCCTTGGTGCCAAAGAGAGCAGTGAAGTTTTCATCTGAAAAAGATGCGGCAGGGAGATCCAAATATGTTGAGTAACACTTGCTGGAAGATAGAAGAAATGCCAGCAGGGTTTTGACCCTCCAAGCTGATGCTAACAAAGGTGTCATGTACCTAATGTCAGCATCAGATGGATGCAGAGAACCAGAGAATATGACAGTGAATGAGTCATGCAGGGCGTCAATAGTAGGTGGCAAGACATGGTGGAGACAAGCATGATCCCTGGGTAGAACAAGAACATTACCCCTAGAATACTGCTGTGTGCCAAGAAGGGGATTTTGAAACAACTTATCCTTGGTATGATCATTCATGAGCAGACAGCAGACACTAGAACAATCATACCTAGCAACCAGCCTGAGATTGATATGAGATGCCTGGAGAAACACGTTCTTGACATCAGGTGGCAAGTGATCATGGCCATAATAAAACTGATTAGCCAAAGACAGCAGAGGCATTTCATGCCTTGCTAAGAGAGAATATTCACAGACACTGCACAAGGCAACATGACCAGCTTTGCACCACAGGTGAGAAAGACCAAGTGCATACAAGAAAGCACCATCATATGTGGTGGCATTGTAGCCCATTGGTGTCAAGTGGGGAGGAAATGTATCACCCGGCAAAAGCAGTGAGAAGTCAATACACTCTACAGCAATGTAAGTAAGCTCTCCTTTCCTCACCTTCTCAGCACAGACAGCACAAGTCATAATTGCAGCATAAGAAACTTTGCAAAGACTCTGATATTCCTTGATGATGTTGAGGACAGTGTCATCACTGACAATGACTGGATATGGAGGAGCTGATGGGGTGGAATGCTCTACTCTTGCCCTAACTGTGCATGTAGGAAGATCCAAAGAGACTGGGAGCTGCCATTTCTGATCATAGCATCAGGTGTTCTGCTCATTGAAGATATAGATTGCAGAGAAGCAGTCAGCATTGCCACAGAAGTGTGAGCTAAGTTTGTGTCTGAGCATCTCCTTAGTGTGGTGTGGGCCATAGGGTACTCAATGCACATTGCAAATACAACGGAGGCCCTGCTGACTGATGCCAGTGTAAGTAGTCAAGAAGCGAGTGAGGGAGCAGATGCTAGCGACAACAAGCAAAGGATCCTGTTCAATCTGAATGAGGAGATCTGTTGGGAGCCAAGTGTAAACCCCAACAAAGTCATAGAATAGATCGAGATGATCACATCATATGGCCCCCACATCAGCAGGGTCATCACCATAGACAACATTCTTAATCATGATGCTGTCCCTATTGAGGGGAAGGAAGTCACAAACATGGTTCATTGGGAGAGGGGGACAAGCAGCAGTATGAACTGTCAGGTCAATGAGGCTAGCAAAGATCAGGGAATGGTAAAGGACGTGTAAGGAGGGGCATGCACTATTGACTGGGTCCCCAATGGTTAGCATCAACTGACACTTCCACATCAATTGACTGCAACCCCCTCGTAATGGCAAGCTCCAATTCTTGAAGTTGAGCTGGGGGCCAGCCACGTTGCTTTGCTATGTAAGCATGGGCATGCATCCTGTCAACAGAGTTATTGCCGGTAACAGAAGACAACAAGGAGCCATCATCAGTGGTCAATGTTAGATGAGGAGCAAGCTCTTTGTCATCAATGACATCTTTGATAACAACCATAATGACAAGAGATATAATTTCAACAAGCGTGAGATAAGGGATACAAGAAAGAGTAGCAGAGACTTTGGTACTTCACCCAATCAATGTGGAAACAGATGGGAAAGGGGTCTCACATTCAGACCCAACGCAGACCCACATGAGCTGCTGTATATAAGGTGAGCTAGCTGGAAGGAGTCCCCAAGTCCAAACACTCCTACAGAACACCACCATGTCATGGAGTCAAAATGCAGAACCATGTTGCCATTTGTGTACATCAACGGCATCGCAGATGTAAGTCAAAATAAGGACATCAGTTACATGTGGCAAGTTGATCCATATTGCAGATAATTATTGCAGAACTACTGTTCAGTGATACATTACCAGCTGCAGACTGGGAGGTGGGTCCAAATCGCATTATAAAACAGAAGAATAGCTAATGGTATACAGGCAGAAGTGAAAGATGAAGAGACATCCAAAGACCACTGGCTGTTCAAGACTGCTGCTGCTATACAGCACACATTGGATGAGGCAGATGCATATGGCATAGTTGATCTCAAGGACATCATGAGAGTGTCTGAGGGCAGCAAAGACATAAGGGGGTCAGTGACATCAACGACACTGGGTAACATGAAGTAGGAGAGCACAGTTGTGTAGTAAATATGGACGACAGGCATGGAGGAAGGAGGGCAGACATGTACTTCTTGTAATGACACAATGTACTATGCCATATTGACATCACTGTGTGCTCCCATTGCAAAGTATACTTTGTTGACAACGAAGTCAATATGGGCAAGGACACTGATAAAACATTTGATTAACTATGTGGAGAAAGACAGTGATCCAGCTGATAAACAGCAATAAAGACCCATACAACACCAGGACATGAAGAGAGGACTACACTAGCGATTCAACCACCACAGCTGCCATACATGCCACTACAACCATGCCCATGAGGAATGCCAAGGGGGCCATGCTCAAGCTCAGCAATATGCAGGAGAAGTTGCTCATGGAGAGCCTGCAGCTGTGCATTCTGCACACACAAGCCAATGTTCTCTGCACAAATAGCCTCGTCATTGACGCACATGTTACAAACACTGTTCACCATATGCAGCAACTGAAGAAAAATAGTTTCCTCCACAAGGAACAACTTCACCTAGGAAGAACATGAGCAGAACAAACATGCAAAATCGACAGTAACTCACATGGCAGTTGTTGCAATTCATATGGTATCCTATGTGCAAGACAGGGGGAAGATGGATGATGTTGGCAACACCAGCAACATAAGGAGCACCAAGAGCAGGAATGCCACCTTCTGCAGCAGGAGCAGGATCTGGTGCTATGGCTGTGTTACCGGCAGCATCACCGGCAGGGCTGCCAGGAGGAAGAGGATGTGAGGGCACTAGTTCTAGCAAGGTTGCCACACACTAATCCCAAACAATAGATGAAGTGCTGGGGGGTCTACTGTGGTTGAAAGCGGCTCTAACCAGCAGTACTAGTTGATATCCACATCACCAGGGCCAGCTGGATTATTGGGGGGGTCCAAGGGGGTCACTGGGGGGTCCCATGGGGTGTTATAAGTCAGTTATAGATAGCTGAAAAGTGTAGCAAGAGTTGTGGAGTCAAGGCAGGTTTCTGAGAGCAGGGTGTTCAGGTGTGTGTAGAAGGGGTTCAAGATGATGAGATGACTTAGAAACTGCTTGTAGACTAAGGAGTTTCCTCAGAGATCAAATCTGAGGGATACAACATCACTGTACTACTGTTTATATACCTTGTAGGTGTTCACCAGAAGCCCAGGAGTCCAGGTAAATTCTGGGGACTCCTACAAATGTCAGATAGACGTCCTAGCAACACCCCCAGGCCTCCCAAACCTTTCCAATAAATTGTGGAGACTCCTACAAGTGTCATCTTGTGTCCCACTACTCCCAGTAGGGGCCTTTAGCACCGCTATGTCTCACCCCAAGTGTCTGGACACAGCAGTCTTGTGGTGTCCTCTGCACAATGTCTTGTATGGCCACTGCCATTGTCCTAAGGCAGTTACCAGTACAGGAAGTTCCAGGGGCTTGTTGTTTCATTGCTCCTAGGGCGAAACGGGTGGCCAGGGGTGGTAACAGGCAGTGCCCTGACAGAGGAACACATTCAAGAGGGGGAGAAGTAGGCTCAGGGACACCACTGCAAAAGACGCCTGCAGGAGGATGTACAGCAGGATCAGCAGCAAGGGGAGCACTGGGACCAGGGCCAGCACAAATGCCAACGCCAGCATCTGCACTGTTGCCAATGATGTCATCATGCACATTGGGGAGCATCACAGCAAATTCAGCACCTATGACAGGTCCGGCAGGATTAAGCAACCTAAGTATATGTGTCAGAAAAGAAAGAAAAGAACACCGGGAACAGATGCACACAGGATTAGCAAAGTTCCCAACATGGGGAACAATAGCCCAGTATCCAGCAGTACCCAGCAACTGGGGGAGAAACTTCGCCCCATAGCCCATGCTTTGCACCCAGACTGTCCTGTTAACTACAATGATGTCAGCAGCAACAGACATTGTCGTCAAGGATCTCACTAGTCCAGGGACAGTCAGGTGTCATACACTCTTTGCAGGCATCAGCAAAGATAACAAGAACAACGGAGGAACTTACTAAAGACAGTGGTGTGCCAAAGAAGAAGCTGAGTGGCAGGGGTGGCATGCATGGGACAGTTGGGCCAGGGAGCAAGGAGAGGATGATCAGGGGCAGGATCAGCCATGAAACTGAGGAGGATGGGCTACATTAGAGATATAGGTAAGTCGACAGAGTACTGTTAGAGATTGTCATAGGAGTTAAAAAGGCAGAAGGGATGCCTTTCTGACAACAACAATGACGAAGGAAGGGGAGCAAAAGCAGACGCAAATCAATATCCGCTAATTCAGAGTCCGGGACCACACAAACAGCGACCTACGGCTCACGTGACGGCGGATAAACGTTTAGGTTCACAAAATGCAAGAGCACAGCTTTGTATGTCTGGAAGACCTGGCCCAACTCCGTTGGCCAGGGATGATCAATTCAAGAAGTACAGCGTCAACGTAAAAGGAATGAGAATGTAAAAGAAGAACTCAAGGCAAGGGCATGTCAAAGTAGTGCATATCGAACTGCTGTTCATCATAATACCTCGCCTTCACGGTCCGGCGATTGAAGAACCGTCCGTCCAGCTCACGAACGCTCTTCCATGCACCGACAGGTCCAGAAAACTTGACGAATATGCGGACTTCGTCTTCGGGCGCGCTGCGGCGCGGGGCGACGTGGATGTAGACACGCTCGACTACGCCGTGCTTTGAGCACTCCTCGGCTGTGCAAGTCGTCAGCAGATGTTGACAGAAACGAGGGTAAGAGCATACCAATTTCTCCCTGCAAGTCAGCGTCGACATCTTCCTTGCCTACCATATTCCTCAGGCAAATAACCTGGCTATGCTCTCCCCATCGCTCCACCTCCTCTTTCAACTTAACATCCTCGTTGACATTGATGATCTTGCCCATGCCTGACCGACCCTGCTCAGGTTTGCCCTTCTTTGCCCCACCAACCTTCTCCACAGACAGAGCGTGGACGATACCCGCGCCGCTCACGCCGAGTCCCTGACCTTCTTTGTGACCCCATTTTGCCATCATACGGGCCGCGAAGTTGTGCGAGTCAGCCCTGCTTATATCATTAGCATGCAGGTCATAATCCTATACTAGGTCGGACATACTCTTCAGGCGGAGTACCTGCATTTTCTTCGGGCGCAGGAGACGCAGGTTTCGGCGCTTGGAAAACAGACGTGGGTCCGCCAGGTGCCAACGCTGCAAGTTTAGCAGCAATAGCTGCTGCCGCCTGTCGACGCTTCTCGACGGCAGGATCCATTGCCATGGGAGGCGTAGAAGATGTTGGAGGAGGGGCGACAGGTAATGTAGGAGGGAAGGCGGGTGGTGCAGCCCAGGAATATTCGGCGTCCTCTGGCTCTGGTGGAGGACGCACGAATTGGGGAGGTTCAGGAGCACTAGCGGGCAGCGGCGGAGATGGGGGTCTGGGGGCTGCCCCACGGCTCATAGCAAGGCGCCGCTGGTAAGCTTCCTCCCCAGTCTCGGCCATGATGGGTCTTGGCGCAGGCGAAGGAGGACGGGGAGATGGCGACGGCACAGGAGATGGAACGGCAGCAACGGCAGGACCGCGAGACATGGCCAGACGGCGTTGATACGCCTCATCCCCGGTCATGTCTTTTGCGATTTGAACAGGGGCGGTGGAAACGAAGGATGGTGCATCTCCAGAAACCTTCGAAGACGAAGGTGCAAAGGAAGGTGCACCGAGGCCACGAGGTCGGGCAGGTTCGTCGTCGTCGTATTCATCCCGAACACGCGGCTCGAAACGACCTGCTTTTCTTGAGCTGGCGAACATAACACAGGAGTGCGACACTCACCGGCCTTTTGCGGCCTCCAGCGATTCTCGCCATCACTTCCGCTCCCTTCTTCATCCTCGCTGCTATGCCAAGAACGCTTCCTTTCGTAGCGCCTCATCGCAGCCTCCTCTTTCTCCCTCTCTCTGTAAGCCTTGTACTCAAGGTAGTCATTCGGACGTGTAGGATCATACATCTCCGTAGGATCCCACACATTCACATTCTGCTGCTTGTTCTTGACGCTCGTCAGTGTCCATTCTCTCCAATGAAGAACAGATAATGCACCTTCCTTTTCTTCTTGTGCCTACCACCTCCACCACCACCTCCCCTCCCTCCTCTAAAACCATTCACATCCTCATCGAGCACCATACTAGGAGGCTTGATCTTCTTCGTCCATCCCTCCGCCGCTTCCGGGGGTGGCTCACTAACCGTAGGCGGGGCGAAAACGACCGCAGTAGCGGAAATGGTCGCAGTGCTGGACACGCCCGGACCGGGAAAAGGGGCGATCGTCGTCGAGGCCGGTACCCCAAGGTTTGGGAGTCGAGCAGCGAGAGGCTTGCTGACCGCCGGTTTGGGCTTGTTGGCCTGTCTTCTCACAGGAGCGAAAGCGAGGGCTGCAGACCGTTCCACTGCATTCGCGGGTGCAAGTGCAAGTGCGTGCGAGGGGGTAAAGAGGTCACGGAAGGAACATGGTCAATCTCCTGCATGGGAAAAAGGTACTGCGGGCGCTCATGCCTGGGTTGTTCGTCTCCTGGCCGTAATCCTTTCCATTTTCCGGGATGAGCTCATCGGTTGACGGAGCAGCGACGACGGTGGTGGCGGAGGCAGGGTGATCAGTAGAGGTAGAAAGGGTGGGAGTCGCTATGCCGCTAGAGGCGATAGCAGATGGAGCGGAGAAGTTGATACCTCCGTAGAGACCGCCTGACATGGTGGTGGTAAGAAGAAGAGGAGAGCGGTGAGTCGAATCCGTGGACGAACACAAATCGAGGGGAAATGCATCCGCCCTCGTATAGGGGGTAATTCACTTCGGAGCCCAGCATCACACATTAAAAGACGTAATAGATTCGTGCGGTCATATCCTACCATGCGTAAGGCATTAAGCGTCAAGCTCAGATATGTAATCCAATTTGGAGAAACGTGCAGGTGAGAAAAGAAGAAAGAAGAAGGAAGAGGATGCATTATCCAGAGTTGGAGAAACCGGGTGCTTGAAGAGAAGAATAGATGGAGATGATACAGGAGGGTCAAGCGGTCAGACGGACAGAGACGTGCGAGAATTCGGGAAGAATGAGATAGATACAGTGAAATCCAGTGCGGATGGTGATACGGTTGCAGTTGCAGTTGCGAATGCAGATCAAGGAGCGTGGGCTGAATGAGCGTGAGGGCGAGACGTTGCGGGGTGGGAAGGATACGAGGGACAAGGAAAGAAGAGGAGGATAGAAGGAGATGGGATAAAACGAGGAGAGCGGAGATGAGAGGAAAGAAAGTGAGATGAATGAGAAGGAGAAGAAGAATGAGATGAGTGCAGAGCAGAGCAGATGAGAAAGGGGAGAGACTAGAGACTAGAGAGAGGAAAAGAGAAGAAACAGGAGTGTCAAGCGACAAGAAGAGAGCAGAGAGCAGAGAGTCGAGTCGAGCGGAGAAAAGAAAAAAGTCACGCAACCAGTGCATAACCAAATACATAGATGCGAGCTGTCAAATAAATCAGAGATAAAAACAAAGACAAATCAAACAAATCAAACAGGAACAGGAACAGGAACAGAAAGGGGGAAAAGAAGACACAGAGACGGAAAAAGAAACAAATCGAACAAAAAACAGATACCTCAACCCTTCACCTCATTGTCGAAATGACACCGCCCTATCCATCACCCTGCACTTTCTCCCTTCCCCTCTAGGGGGCGGCGCACCCAACCCAACCGCACTCCCCAGCCCAAGCCCGAGCCCAAGCCCGAGTCCGGGTGCGGGTCGGAGAGCAGCCGGCTCTCCCAAACATCCAAACGCGTCCTCGCTCGAGGAATGTTCTTTCACGCTCATGAGCTGTACTTGCGGCCGGCGTTTCTTAGCCGGCGCCGCTGGCGCCGCCGCACTAGCAGCACTGACATTCCCACTGCCTGCGCCGGCCGCCCCAGCAGGAAAAGGCAGCGCCAAAGGTAAAGGCACCGGCCCCTGCCCCCCCTTAGGTCTCGGCATCCCCGAATCCCCATAGGTATACGACCTTGCGCGCTGCCATCTCGTGCCTTGCCTGAACTGGCCCAGGGAGGGGGAGCAGGCAGTCGCATGCCTGGGATCGAGCATCGCTACGTATCCTTTGGGTTCGCAGTGGGCCTATACGAATGGTGCAAGTTAGCGTCATGTGCGAGGAAGAGGGGGAGTGAGGGAAGCGGAAGGAAGCAGGGGACTCACAGGACTGCGTTTAAAGAAATCATAATACCCCCCCTGGAGGATATATATCTCTGGAAAGTGTATACTCGGATAACAATGCGCGTTAACCGCTCTATCCCTGCTCCTCAGATGTTTCGCAATCGTCGGTGCGCGTTTCACGCTAAACTCGCAGTGGAAGATGATGACCGTTTTCTTCCCTTGGCCCTGGGCCTGGCCCTGTGCTCCTCCCTCTGGACCTGGACCATTATAGTTCCTACTCGTGCTCGGAGCAGGGAGGGGGATCCCACACCCCGAGCGAAGGAAATAGTCTTCCGCCGCATCGGCAGTAGCGAGGTTGACCGCACCGTCAATATGCCCTCCAGCAAACTCGTAGTCGAATCGGCAGTCAACGATATGCAGCGCCTCGAGCTGAGCATCATAGTCCCCGTTGAGCACAGTCTCCAGTGTCTCGGGGGTGATCCGCATAAGCCCATCATCCTTCACCCTCAGGCAAGGGAGGATCTTTCCCTCCTGCTCGTTATGCCCAAACCCGCCAAACCCGAATCCGAATCCAGATCCGGGCTGAGGACAACTCTCCCTCTTGCTAGGTTCGACCGCGCTCTTCGGCCCGCGGTCGACGGCGTCTGCCCCGCTCCCACTCCGCAGAGGGCGGAAAGCAGGACTGCCATCAGCGTGGGTGACAAGGCGGGTATTGGTGCGCTTTGCGTATGCGCGCTGGACAGCCGTGAGTGGGCTCGCTTCGCTCGCGCTCGCACTGTCGGCATCGGATTCCGCGGCGAGGGATAGCGTGCGCCTCATCGGCCCGCTCTGGAGAGGGTTGAGCTGCGAGTCCTGGGTGAGGATGCTAAACGCGCTCTGGGGAGTTGGGAGCCCTGGGCGGGCAAAATGCTCTCTCTCACGCTCAGGGAGGGAAGGGTTGATGCTCGGTCTTCTTGCGTGTGCGTGGCCGTGGGCGTGTGGGTGGGGGTGGGCATACGGGTGTGCCCTTGCGCGAGAAAGGCTCCCAGTGCGGAAATGGAGTGTCCCCGCACCTGCCGTGGCGAACTTTTCCAGTTTGCGGCCTTTGAACGCCATAGTCGGGCTTGTTGGTGGAGAAGAGGAGGGGAGGTCGGAGGGGATCAGGTGTTTAGGCGGAGAAAGCTTCTTCACTCTCTGGGAGAAGGTGGCGAGGGGGGAAGAGGGGAGGTCGGAGGGGACAAGGAGTTTAGGCGGAGAAAGCTTCTTCACTCTTTGGGATAAAGTGGCGAGGGGGGAAGAAGGGAGGTCGCTTGACTCGTACAGGCCTGAGAGGTCGGAGAGGTTCGCGGCGGAGGCGAGGACCGCTGGCGGGGGTGAAGTGTACGTCCCTAACGGGGCGTGCGAGGCAGGCGCTGACGGGCTACCGGGGAAAGGCCGTATCCCATCCAAAGAACTGTCGATGTCCATCCTATCCGTGCGTGGTGAGCTGGGTGGAAGACCATCCTAACAGGACTGTATCAGCACGATCCCCAGCTAGAGGAGAGGGAGAGGAGGCGGACCTGGTCCCACTGAGGGATAGGATCAAACAGCCCGCCCATCCTCTTCTCCGCACTGCCCGTATTCTGCACCCACTGCGCAGGCAGACTGCCGCGGGTCTTGCTGCTCTTGCTTGATCTGAGCTCGGGACTCCCCTCCGTCGACCGGGGGAGGTTGCGGATGTCTGTACCGAACTTCCTCGGTGCGGGGAGGGCGAAAGGCGAGGATGGCTGGTGCGCATGTTGTTTCTTCGTACTGAGGGTGAAGTAGTCTTTCGAGCTGCTCTGCGCGGGCTGGAGGGTGGCTAATACTGGTCGCTTGGGTACTTGAAGGAAAGGGTTAGGCAGTATAGGGGAGATGTCCATCGGGCTCGTGTCCATAATAGGCGAGAGCATGGGGCGAGCACGCTCAGGTGCAGGGGACATCGATATGCTCATACTGGAAGCGAAGGAGATGTCGACGTCTGAGGGGAGGTCATCATCAAAGTGGGTCGGGGAGGAAGGCTGCATGTGCCGGAAGATGGCTGGTTGTTCGCGGATTGGGGAGCTTGAGAGGGACATAGTGGATGAGGATAGAGTTTGATAAGGTGAAGGTTCGTTTTTTAGGTATTCGGGAGCGGCGTTGGTGAGTGCGTTGAAGTGCGTCGCTGTCGTGGATGGTAGGGTTAAAGAGCGTGAGCTAGATAAGTGTTTAGTACATGATTGATTGATTGAGTAAGGGAAGAGTAAGGCCAATGTTGGACAAAGAGAGAGAGGAAAGCTGTGCGATTGCCAGCGGATGGTGTTGGCTGTACTCACGCGTTGGCCTGAGTGTATACAGTATAGAGATGTGGACGTTACCCTCTAATACGGAAATGGTCAACAAAAGAGAGGAAGAGAGAGAAGAAGAGAAAGAGAAAAGGGGGAAAACACTCACGGAAATCAGAGTTGTCGCCGTACACACCACGTGCACAGAAGATAGACTGACGAGGAAGACAGAGAGTTCCACACAATTCCCTCTTCTTCTTGTTGCTTATACGAAGAAGACACAGAGAGAGGAACAGCACAGCGTAGGCCTTGAACGACAAAGTTGCAGGGTAACGTACTCCTCCCTCTGTAGTCGTCGTCGTCGTCGTCGTCACAAACCAGCAGTGTCCAAGCTAATCCCCTGCTTCCGTGTTAAACCTCACACTTTCACTTTCACTTCCCCTTCTAACGCCGGCGTACGGGCGTGGGCAGTGCGGCTTAGGGTGAGTGGACAGCGGATAGGGCGGCGTGACGACCAAAGGAAGTGAAGTGGGACAGGGTCTGACACGCTAGAGACGCGTGCAAATCTAGGTCACCTGACTGATTTTTATGCTACCTCACTTCAGCTTTTGATGCGGAATGTTGGAGTAACAGCATTAAATGGATGGATATATCAAACTAAGGATACGGGGAATGGAAAGGGGAGGGGAAGGGGCTGGATAAGTACACATCCGATGGACAACAGCTCCAACATTGGGAGCGGATGCGAGCGGGTAACGCCTGCTTGGAGTTTATCCTTTCGATAGACTTCGACCGACATTGACAGTATCGTATCTTTATGTTCATCTATCGGGCATCGACGCCCTACACGTTCTTATACCTCGACTGCAACGTCCCCTTCACATCCGTAGTGCGGATCATCTCGTCCCATCTACTCCCATCAGCAGTGTGCAAGGTAAGCGAAGGGAAGGCTTACGGGGCAAACACGAAAGGGAGGTTGTCCGGGTGAAGTTCAGGATAATGCGTTTTCACAGTAGAGACTATATGATCATACAACACCTGTCCATCCTGTCAGCTACAACCCCAGGAGGAGGAGGATGTACCCACCTCATACGCAGCAGCGTTCACATGCAGCCCATCCTGCATCCACTTGTCCAGTCCCTCCTCCTTCCCCCCAGCGCCCTCCCAAAGTAAAGTATACATATCAACCACGGGGATCGCCTGTTCTTCCCCCAACTCCCTTACCGCCTGGGCATAGGCACGCGTGACTGCCTGATCCCGGTCTAGAGGCTCGGGAGGGGTGCGGGAGGCGAGGATCGACCCGCGCTGGAGGGAGGAGAAGGGAGGAGGGGTGATGAGCAGCAGGCGCGTGTGGGGGGAGTGGTATGCCGAGCTTGGAGAACGGAGCAGGGAGATAAGAGTGTGCATGTTTTCCTTAAACTTTGGGAGGGGGGACTGTGGCCGTCGTCGAGCTCAGTGTCAATGTCTGGAGACGTGGGAAGTGGACGTACATGCTGCACTTTGGGAGGGAGGACAGCGTCGTTCGCTCCTTCATCCCCATCACCCATCAGTACACAGAGCGTACACAACATAGAGCAGACTGACCAAACCAGATGATGAGCAGCTTGACCTTCTGCCCCCCGCCGCCGCCGTCGTTCCTTGGAAATGTCTGCTTGAACACTTCCAGTGCCCACTCGGTGTTGTACCCGCTCAGACCGCGGTTGAGGACGTCCATCTTCCGCGCATACCTGTCTGTTCATGCACGCAATAATCCGTATGTCAGTACTAGTGCAGTGTCCGTGCGGGAGTGGTTGGGGGAGGAGGACGTACATGCTAGTCGTTGTGCGAACCCGCCAGGTTCCCAGCCGCCCTGCGTGAGAGAATCGCCAATGAGCATGATAGCGTCCATATTTCCTGCCATGGTGCTCGTCGTCTGAGTGGAAGAGGGAGTGAGGACGTTGGAGAAGAGACCGGCGAAGAAGACGACGACGAGGGAGAGCAGTTGGAGGAGGAGATGCATAGAGGGCTCCGAGTACAGGGACAGCGCTTTCCTATTCTGACGATCGTCATCCTCTGCGCCGCCATCGTCGTCGTCCTCCCCTTCACCGTCGTCGTCGTCGTCCTCACCGTTGTCGTCGTCCCCTCCCCTCCTCATGTCCAGCCCAGCCACCCGCCGTCCAGCCCGTCTCCGTCCCCAACCCTCCTCCTCCTCCTCCTCCTCCCCCGCGCCCCGTTCCCCCTCCTTCCTCCCCTCCGGCCTCTCCCAACCCTCCAACGCCCAACGCCTCCCATCCCGTCCCTCCCACCCTTCCCACCTCTCCCACTCCTCCCACCCCTCCTACGGCCCCGGGAACGCCTCCACCTACGCCTACACTGACTACCCGCGTTTCCTCACTCTATGGGAAACAGCTAGCTTGCACGCTTCGTGGGCGCTACACGGGCTCTGGGACGCCTTCCGATGGGACCACGTCTTCCGGTTTATCCAAGAGCCTGAGATACAAAAGAACGGTATGTCCCTCCCTCCCTCCTTCCTCTTCCTCCTCGTCGGCAGCGGCCACAGCTGAAAACGCACAGTGCTCAAGAGTCTCCTGCTGAATGGCCTAAGCCTAATCTCAATATTCACCTTCGAATGGCTCCTCCTCCCTCTCCTGCCTCATAACCCCTCCTACCAGCGCAACCTAGGAACAGCATACCAAGTCCTCTGGCTCTGGCCCGTCGTCGGCGCTTCCCTATGGTTCAACGTGCGTCCCCCCCCTTCCTCCACGCAACCGCTAACCGCTAATCGCGCACAGAGTATCTGGAGCACGACAATAGCGCGCAAAGCCTTCCTCTTACAACATGGCCAGGCCCCAGTACCAGACACGCCCAGCTACGGCGGAGTGCTGAACAGTATCGCCAGCAGCGCGTATAGGCTCATATTCCTCCTTTCGTACCTCTTTCTCCAGCTGTGTCTGGCCTACTTGCCAGTAATGGGCAAGCCGGCGGGGTTCGTCTTCACCTGCTGGGTCAATTCGTACGTCCTTATTTCCGCAGCCTGCCTGTAGTTGGTTGCCCTACTGACCTGAGGGAAAGGTACTACAGCTTCGAGTTTGTCAATATCGCGCGTGGGCTTACGCTCAGCGAGCGAATAAAGCAGCACGAAGAACGCTGGGCCTACTATCTCTTCTTCGGTGCGTCCGCCCCCGCCCCCCCTGCCCGCCTTACCCAATACCCACCGGCGCTAACCCCGCCCAGGTCTGCCATCAGCAGCCCTCTGCATGTGGGGAAGCAGCCTAGCCAACGCCGCTTCCTACGCCCTCCTCTTCCCAGCATACAACATCATGTCCATGCCTGCGCACCCACTCCCTCGGCATCCCTACGCCCCCCACCCGAGCCCTAGCGCAGGGGGCCAACCAGCCCTGCTCTCACCGTATATCCCTATCCGGATCCCTGTGTTCACGCCTGTCATACTGGTGAACGAAGTTGTCGTAAGGGCGCTGAGTGTGGGTACGCGGACGCGCAGGGGGACGGGGGGCAGGCCGGCGGCTGGGAGCCCTGTGAGGGGGAAGAGGTGGGGGACGCAGGCTATGGAGTTGACTGAAGAGGGGACGGAGGTGGACACGTTTCGACCTAGGCGGAAACTGGACTGAGTGCCCGTGCCCGTGTCTCCTACGAGTAACGCATCTATTCCACTACATACCCATTACACCTGTACTGGATGCCCTGTATCCCTAGCCCAGCTAATGAACGTCTCTACGCCCATACCTCTAGCCAAAATTCGCCCATTCAACAGAAAAGAACTCGACGTCCCCCGTGCTCTCCTCCCATGCACAAAGCAGATGCGCCTTCTTAGTCGCCGTGCCCAATCTTCCAAAAGCGATGATCTCCATCGGGTGGAGGGGATCCCGCATGCCCCGTGCCGAAGCAACGAAATGGCTGTGATACCTCAGCGGATCCCCGGGGTAGACGAGCCAGTCTCCGCCGAACTTTAGCCCAGAGCCGAGGAAGTACCCGGCTTGCCAGAGTGCGCGGAAGGAGGCGCTTTTCGCTCGCTCGAGCGGGGTGCTGGGGTAGTTGAAGATGTTGGCTTTGAGGGCGGAGTGGAGGGTGCAGTGTAGGTGGGGGGCGTACCAGGGGAGGGAGAAGGAGGAGGAGGGGATGGATACCCAGTGCGGGGGGGACTTGTTGGGTAGCGTCGGTGCTGGCTGTTCCTTCGCCCCTGGGGGTCGTCGTTCCTCCCCGTCCTCCTCCTCTCCCAATTGCAAAACCTCTTCACCCCCTTCCTTCCCCTTCACGCCCTCCAACCCCCTCCGAGCCCTCTCCTCCCGTTTCCTCAACGCCTCCCCCTGCAAGACCCTCTTCGGCCTCCTCTCCTTCTCCTCCTTCTTCTCCTGTTGCAAGCCAACGTCATCTTGTCGTGCGTCTTCCCATTGCTCGAGCTGCCCACGTGTGGGCGAAGGGTAAGAAGATGGGTCGTCTACGAGGTAAGCGAGTCCTGTTTCACAACAGAGTACATCCATCAGTCAGCTAAGCGTCTCACACACGCAAGAAAGAGATCATACCGAGGTCAACGAGCAAAACAACTTCCTCAGGCATCAACCTCCCCGGCAAGCCCAAGAAGACGTTCTGCTGCGTAGCACTAGGCAGCGTCCCTACTAACGCACTGCAGATATGTTTAGTACGGAGAAAGGCGAGGTCTGGTTGTGCGTTAGTTAGCTGGCCACGACGGAGAGGAGGGAGGGGGGGAGGACCTTGGATCGTCCATATTAGACCTTGGTTGTTGGATATGTATATTGGTATTGGCGGTATTGAGGTGGACGTCAATACCGACGTAGAGGTCGTCGTGGTCATCGTGGTCGTCATGGTCGTCGTGGTCGTCGAGGTCGTCGCTGATGTTGACATTGTCCTCGCTGACAATGGAACTGACAATGACCTCGACTGCAAATTATTGTCAGAGTCATGTGGCCAATAGGGTCGTGTGCTATAAATTGTGGCTTGACATGTGATTGTCTCACTTCTTTTTTGCGCAGTATTTTTCATATCTTTCAACTTGTGAACTCTGAAGAAGAAGAGCATTAATTTAATGCACAATTTGGATAGAGAATGCAAGAGAAAAGAGTTGGAAGTCAAGGGAAATCAAACACGCAGAGGCAGCCAAGTGAATGGAATATTATATGTGCTCGATGAGTGTCATGCAATGCCGTCCACCTCCTGCTCAGACTCGGTGCTCGTCGCTCGACGCTCGACGCTCATCCTGCCCGCGCCCGCACCCGCACCCGAGCAACACCCCATACCCACTACCTGGAAACTACTGACTCCCCCCACCCCTCCCAAACCCACGCAAGAGACCCTTCCTCCTCTTCCCGCTCCTTTTCTTCGGGTGGTTCTTCCCCTCCGCTTTCTTACCCCTCAACAGCCTCCGCCTCTCCTCCGCTCCCTGGTCCCAGGTCTCGTCCTCCCCCTCGGCCCACCAACGCCCGCCTTGCAGGAAGATGACGCCGGTGAGGGCGACGCTGCAGAAGAGGTGGGAGGAGGCGAGTTCCAGCAAGGGGTTGCGGAGCGGGAGAGGGAACTCGGTGGGCGGTGTGAGGGGTGTAGTGTAGGTGGCGAAACGGAGGATATCTGTACCAGTTAGCTGGGGCGATGAGCAATGGAGAGCACGTACTGGGGATGACAGAATAGAGGTATATAAACCCCGAAAAGGCGTACAAGACTGCTCTTGTCAGCCACCTGCCTCCTCTCATAAAACAAGCTCGCACTCACACAAACTCGCCCAGTCAAACAAGCTCACATCCCTCCAATCGAAAAAGTTGGTCAGGAGGACCCCCATCCCGCCCAGCGCTAGCCCAGCGAGCACCCAGAGCATGTACGCGGGTAGGTGGGCAAGGTGGGCGTAGTACGTCGCTGCGGATGCGAGGTGGGCCGGGGTGAGCGGCGGGTTCCACATTGTGAGCGAGTCTGCTGTCCAGTGGGTGCATAGTGTCCCTTTCCTCTGACATTAGCGCATATACCCTAGTCTAGTGAGTTAAAGTACCTGCAGGAAGTGAGCAGGGTGTCGCGTGCACATGGATAGAACTCACCTAGGAAGAAAGAGGTGACGCAGACGAGGACAATAGCGCGGATGCCGGACATCCCGCTAACCCTTTTCTCCTCTTGTTCTGTATGTCGACGACGGGCTGTATCTGGTCAAGAGAGGGGACGATGAGGCATACGCTGTCGCTGTCGTTGTCGATGTTGGATGTGCCGTCGTCGTCGTCGTCGTCGTTGAGTGCCCTGAACACGGGTCAGGATTCGGTGCCGAGCCGGAGTTGCGGATGCAATGAGTTTATCCGATGGATCAGGGAAAGTGTAAAAGTGGAATGAGCGCTCTCTTCTCTCACTGTTCAGAATAATCGCATCATGTCTCGCCTCAGTCGCCCTCTCATCCCATACATACGTCACTCTTTAACACGTTACATCACAGCTTCATCATCAGCGTCATCGTCATCGTCGTCATCATCCACTCCCCCCAATCCAACCCCTTCATCACAAGACATTCCCATCCAACAACCACCCTCCAACCCTTGGTTCCTCCGTGGCCCCGGTGCCTTCACCCATTCCCCCCTTCCCTCCCCCACACCCCCCTCCATCCCTCCCCCATCCCCAGGCTGCCCATCGCACATCCTCACCATCCATTCCCACCTCTCCCTCCTGCCCCAACTCGACCCTTCGACGCTCTACGCCGGTCCTCCCCTGCCCAGACCATACGAGCATTTCCAGACTCAAGCCGAGCTGCGGCCTAGGGGAAAGAGGGGAAGGGGGAGCAGGGATGCCGGGCAGGGAGTTGGAGAGCCTGGCGGGTTCTGGAGGTGGGTCGTTGTTGTTCAGGTCAGGGAGGGCACGAAGGGGAGAGGGAGCGTCGAGGCCGTTTTGAGGAGTCTTAGGGTGCTTGTATGTCTCCTGCTTCTTCTCGCGTGTATGAGGCTGATATCCTACAGCTGAGTAAACAGCACCCCTCTCTCCCACTCCCTCCAAGAACTCGCAAACAAGCCGAAGACGGATGGGCAATGCTAGACCTAGGCGACACGGCCGTGCACATCCTCTCCCGCACAGCGAGGGACAAGTGGTTCACGGACAACGACCTGAACCCGGAGGAAGAAGGCTTGAAGCAGGTATACGGAGGGATGCCGTTTTGGTTCAAGACGTATACTGAGTGAGCTGGAGAGGGTGTAGAACGAAACGGAGATGTTGTAATGTGGTCGTTGGATCCTCAGCGTCGTACAATGATAGAGTCATCAGCACCAGGTATCGCATAGTCGGGCCGTCGAGGCTCATGAGAACGAAGCAATGAAGCCAGACAATATCCAAATCCTCCCTCCCTCCCTTGCCTCTTACGGCTCATCAGCGGGCACGCCTCTCCACCTGAGCTTTGCCGTATTCCATCATTCCAATCCCTCACACGACGATGCAGCTGGCGCACACTCGGGAGGCAAGCGCCCTCCACTTCTGGACAGGCAGGCGTGCTTGAAGTCCCCTCCGGATATGCGCCGCGATGAACTGTTTGGGATTCAGTAATGTCTTTTCAGATCGAACAGATCGCATGCAGTGCAGACATAAGGAAAGAAATGGTCTTGGAGAATGGAAAGCCAAAGAGGTGGAAGGATAGTAAGCCCGAGAGAAAGAGGTGTGAGGCACGCGTTAGCAGAAATGTGAATGTAAAATTACGATCGAATAACATTGCAGGGACACTTCTTTCTAATGCTTCTTCGGGCTAGAGTGAAGGATACTTCCACTGGTTTTGTCCCCTTCAATCACGCATAGTCAGAGCGCTATTAGCGCACTTGCGGCGCGGCTACACAGCATATGCAAATAAAGCAGTTCTCTACTAGAATCGCACCAGAAAGAAACCATCTCTGCATGCATATGTCATATTTTGGTTTCTGAAGCTAACCACTTGTTCAGCTCCTTGGAGAATACTCGTACATCTTGCGTTGCTCTGTGCCATCGATGTAATACCGATATAACGATCCATTCGCTCGCTGTAGGGCGCTGATGTATAGTGTTTTGTCGGCATCATTATCAATGAAGTCCGGGAGGGTCACCGCTAGTTCTCCAGGTCGAAAGCCGGCATTCCCAAAGTCAAGGAGAGCAGCTACATTGCCCTCATTGTCCACCAAGATGTTCCGACCGGCTAAGTCCCCATGCGAAAAGTGGAAGGTGTGCTGATCTCCCGCATGAAGATCGAGGAAATCGTAAAGCTCGATGAGTTTTCTGCCCGGGCCTCTGTTTTCCAGTGGCATGAGACCCGGTTTACCTAGGAAAGCAAATGCCTCGAGCAGATCGCGCTTGGTCATGAATGGACCGCACTGATCCGCCGGGATAGCACCGCCTTTGAAAAGCGGATCTTCGAATGCAAGATCGTTAAGCGGACCCAGGACAATCTCATCGGATGTGTTGTCGGAGAACT